CTTAATTGTCATTAAGGATTTAACAGCATACTTTGGTCTTAACTGCAGATCTCTCCTTTATACAAGTTCCTTGCATCCCTCATTACATCAGTGGCATAATTAATACCCTGCTGTGTGGTCGGTTTAGATAAGAGTCCAAGGGATGCGAGGTAAAAAAGTAACAGCTACATCTCGGTAGCGGCCAACTCCCCATCCCCAGTCCTCATCTGTGCTATCTTGCCAGCTATCTTGTTAAGAACTGGCGGCTGGTACAGTTCCCCGGTTGAGAAACCCAGACTGTGTGGGGGTTAAAGCCATATTGTGAGTGGGCTAAATACATCATGTTTATAGAGTCCTTAATTTTCAGCTATCTCAAGTCTGGCATCAGCAAATGAAGATGAGAAGTGGTATCAATCTCTCAAGATGTTCTGCTTCGCATGGCTTCTGTTGCCCCTGTTGTAGAAGTGGTGACTTTTCCAGTCAGTGAGGCAGTTGCCAAGGTGGAATCAGCTACAGGATCATGGTTTGTGGATTCACCTGCTCCAACACTTTGCTCCTGGTGGTACCTTTTCTTCCTGCAGCTTTTAACCCAAGTATTGCACTGAGGCATTGTGCAAAGCATGTCATGATCCTTGCCAATAAAATATCAGAATAACTGAATTTTGTTGAAAAGCCCTATTCCTAAAGGCAGGCTGAAAGTAATGGCTTTAGCCTCAGAAGCTTTGCAACAATGTTAGCTTTCTCTTTGAAAGTCGGAAAGCTAAAAAAAAAAAAAAAAATCAGAAAATAAGCTATATAACTAAGGATATATGTGGTCGTGGCAATCTTCTAACATAATCCTGTCCCTCTAAAATTTGGACGTATCTAAGCTAATCACCGACCTCACGCTACAATCAGCTAGGAAAGGAGAGCCTTCAGAAGGCAATTCTTGGGCAATTTATCTGAATTGTTAGTTATGTTACAAAAAAAAAAAAAAAAAAGAAATAAAAAAATCCATGAAGTACTCAGTGGCAACACCGGATTTTTTTTGTTCTCTGATTCCTTAAAATACATTTTCTTTGGAGTCTAACCATGCTGGATGGTTTCTTAAAGGATTGCAAGTTCTGCTAATGGATGTAATAACTTCACAGGTGGTTAACCTTGAGGAAGGAATGCCTGTCTTTGTATGTGTTGTCTTCAGGACTATGGCTGTAATTGTGACCAGATGAATTTGTGTCCTAGGAAACACAACTAGAAGCCTTACAGCTCAGCTCATACATCTGGAAACATTAGGGGTTAAATCTTTGCACCTTGTAGATGGTGAAAGTTTTTCCAGGACCTTAAACAGGGCAGAAATCCATCTGAAAGTGCCTATATGGGTAAGAATGCTTCCCAAGTAGGGATTATGGATACCCTATTGACTTCTACGTCCAGTTTTCACTGTCTTTCATTTAAACGTGCAAATAAAGTGAATGGAATGGAAGGTCCAATTTGTTTCAAAACTTAAGGCAGTAAAATTTCAGAGGTTGAGAGTGAAAAAAACAGAAAATGCAGTCCTGTGGAGATACCAGGGCACAAGCCTCAGGGTTCCAGGATTCCCTTCTTTTCTGAAAAACTATGGATTAAATACATCAGTGCATTAGTTAGAGCAGGAGTGCACTTTTGATCCTGATCATCTGCACTTACTGTACTTCACTTTGCATCTCAGAGCACATAAACTGATTTTGTTTGGGGTAAAACTGAGTCAGAAGAACTCCAGGAGCTCATTTAATGTACTCTAAGTGCTAATGCAAATTCAGTCTACAGGATCAGATTGGAGATAGTTAGAAGTAAAAGCCACAAAAAAGTGGTGTGAAAGCTATGCCCTTAATGCTGAGTGTTTCACCCTACAATTTTGCTGCTATTGGTAGGGTTTGACACTGCTTCCTAGTGTAAATTCAGGATATAGCATCTTGATCAACTTGTTACCAATTTTTTAAATGTAACATAATCTTCAGTATATATTTATAGAAAAAATATAAGGGAAAATATAAACATCGTAGCATAATATTAAAAAAGTTAAAAGAAGACATCAGCGCATGTGTCCTTTAGATAACTGTAGAAAGAACTAGTGCTTTATTTAATAGAAAATGCTCTTAAATGAAGTAGATTACTGAAATGTATAGGCTTTTTAAACATCAGTTCTATAGAGATACAGTTGTTATAAAGCAGCCATAAAATTAGAGAGCTTTTGCCCTCACCCCTCCCAAAAATCCTTCAATAGGTACTTTTCTGACAGTCAATATTACCTAAAATGTTGAAAATGTCTTCTCAGCAGTGATGTATTAAGGTTTCTCAGTTCACTGCAGTGATATATCTACAAATACGTGTAAGACTTTCTTGAAGATTTACTTATTGGAAGAGGTCATGCTGTGGGAACAAGATTATTTGTGCCATTACTTCAAATCAGCACTTGGTGATTTAATCTCGTAACGCTCAGGAGCGTTGATATGAAATAAGAAACAAGTCTCTGAGTAACAAACCACAGCTCAAGTGCCTCTTGTCCATTCTTTGCAGAGTAAGGCAGTTGTTCAGTGTTTGATACTGACGGGGAAGATGGGATAGACAGATTGCCGTCATAAGTTCTATTGTATAAAGTCATTTACATTGAATATTAAATGTGGTTTTTAAGCTTTGTTGCAGACATTTTCCTATGGGGAGACAGAACTAGGTGAAACTCCTAGGAAAGAGTCCTGAAAGAAGTAGCAGCCCTAGAAGTGATGAAGGAGGGAGCCAAAAAGCAGCATGGGAAAATAACCTGAAAATACATGTGTGTGTGTGTTATTTAGTAATGATAAATACCTGCAGGTATCAGGAGTGCGTGCTGTAGAGTTTAGGGAATTGGTCAGACCCCTGGAAGAGGGGAGGATCTACACTAACACAGCGTATCAGTGAAAGGGGAAATAGAGTATTGGTACGATGTTATTGTTGGCTGTGATTCAGTTGTCTTAATTTAGGTGTGAAAAAGACATGCAAGCCGAAGTTAGTTGCCGTAGTCTTTCTGGAGGGGGATTCACCTCATTTGAAAGTAGATCAGACAAAGTATCCTCTGGAGGTGTTGTGTTCCTTCTGCTGACTATAAACAGAGCATCAGGTGACTATCTCTGATGTCTAACTGGGCGTCCGGAGTTAAATGAGATGTGATTCATCTTGCTTTATTAAAGTAACTGAACTAAATGTCTCAGCACAATTCCTTTGGCTTGAAAGAGAGGACAGAACTGATCAGTACGCTTTAGGATCCTATGAAGGTACATTCAAAACTACCCTACTATTCAAAGAGCAGGCAGTGTGCTCCGAAGCTGAGATTTAGAGCGGAGCTCTCGGTCCAAGGGCAGCAGATCTGCCTGGTGAGCGGGAGAGAAAGGATGTCTTTTTGCTGAGCTGTGTTTCTTGTTTCATTGCGCTCTCTTTTAGGCCAAGTTTTAGCTGGCATTTATAGGCATGAATATTTATAGAAACTAATTCTTTCTGTGGTCCCTTGGGCTTGCCAGCTGTGAAATGAAATGAAAGAATTATCTTTAATTTACTTTTGAAAATGGGGGTGGGTATATGATATAGTAATTTTGTTCTCTTGCTATCTGAACCAGGGGCCTCTTGTGAACAGAAGGTACCATTTTGCAGAACTGCATGGTGGTTTTGTGGTTGTGTGGGTGATGGAAATGCATGGAAAAAGCATTACTAAGCATTTTTGAAGAAAAAAAGTATTACTAGCTGCATAACTGAAACTTGAGCTGGTCAAGCTCCACAGCACAAAGTCAGTTTATTTTCTAATAAAGTAGTTTCAATGAAACAGCTGTAGGGAAGAATTTGGCCTATGAAGTTTAATGATTAGTTGTTGTTTAATTGCTAGTTGCTCCTGAGGACAGAAACTTGCCACCAGAAATGCTCTTTTCTCTCTGATCCTTGTTACGATGTTTCCAGTTCACCAGAGTTCAGATATTTACCTGGCTAAAAATTATATCCTGTATATAGAAATTATCTGTAGTGGAAGCATCAAGTGCATGTTCTTAAATCTCATTCCAAATTATAAGGTACATGAGGTAAACATGAAGAATAAAATCTCAGCTGATAGATGCATGGTTTTTTTGGGGGGGTATTCACTGCCAGAATCTCAGATGTCACTGAAGGGGATAAAACTGTGGTAGAATTGATTGGGCAGATCTGGGCTTTCCCCTCCTAAATAACTCATCTCTGCCCTCTGCAATTTAATTGTCCAAGTCTCTCTGAATGGAGGCAGCTGTATTAGTTTAGCACACTACATGTGTGATCAGTTTGGCAGCAGCATTCACTTTTTTTTCCAGAAAAGATTGCACATTCTCCCTGTATTCAATCCAGGCTATTGATATGAATATGCTTGGAGCTAAGACTGATTGAGGACGGCCACAGACCTTTGAGACCTGCAGCTCCAAACAGTTGCATTAAGTTCTTTGGTGACACTGAAACAGGCACTAACTTTTCAGTGATAATCCATTCTTTTCAGGAAGTTTGTCTTGAAAAAAACCTTAATTCTTCCAATTCCTCTAATTTTCAACAGTCTGTAATATGCTTTTGTTTGTGTCTGTGTGAATTATGCTTGTGTCAAATTTACAACTCTGCCACAGTGAGTCAAGGCCAGCCTTGGTAACAGAAGCAGAGTCCCGGTCCCCTTGTGGGTCTGTGCTTTTATGGAAGAAGGAGGTAAATATCTCAAATGTTTTCAGATATACTTGTCTGCATCCCATTTCCAAAACTTGTCTACTGAATAAGTCAGTCTTTGCCAAAGGTTAGCTGGTCTCAAGATTCTCCAGAGCTAAGAAGAGAGCTGTAATGCTCCATTAACGTTTGACGTGAACTGGTATTTCCACATATCATAACGCTGTGCAACTGAGACATATCATGGGCTGAGGAGCAGGATAAGCATGGTCTCTTATGTCTAGGTGAGGTTGGGTAGGGAGGTGGAGTGACCTGGCTGTGTTATTTCCATTTCCAGGGGAGGCTCCGTAAGCAGGCGTGCTGTCAGACACGCAGCACTGCTGGCGGTGTTGCCTCAGATGGATTGCGTAGAAGAGGATATTCAGATTCCAAACATTTTAATGAAAAAAGGCCTTGCTGGTTTTATCTGAGTGCCCGCCATCCATCTCCATGTCTGCAGTGCTCGATATTGATTTTTCAATGAAGTGAGTGATCTTCACAAAGTTATATCTGCTTTGTTTTCCTGACTAGATTGCAGAGTCTTCAAGGCAACAGTAACCCTGTCTTAAACTTCCGGGGGGATTGAGGGGGAACAGAGTATTGGGTTGGGGGTTTTGTGGTGGATTTTGGTTTTGTGTTTTGTGGGTTTTTTTTACACTGTTGCTCTACTAAAGCATATGGATAACACAAAACAGGTCATGCATAAACCAGACCCGATGCCTTCCTTTAAAGAAAATTATCTTTGGGTTACACAATGTCTGACAGCACCCATAAATGTAACATAAATGAAATTCCTGTCTAAAAATCTGGGAGGCAAGCTATTGCATTATCTAAGTCCAGTTGAAATCTGAGTATGTTCATGACTTCACTTGTCTTACCATGTGACTTTCGTCTTACTCTTTTAGTTTCTGCATGCATAATGTGAAATGTAGGTAAGTAGAGCATACTCATAGATGTATAGAATAGCTGGTCACCTAATGCAGTTAAACTTTACACTATTTAATGATAAAACAAATGTCTGCTATTTGAAACTGAAGAGTTGGTGTCTGAGAAGGAAAGAGTAGTGAAATGTCTCACAGTAGGTTTTGTTTTGGTTTGGTTTGGGTTTTTTTGCATATTGACTTGGTGCAGCCAGGTAAATTATTCTATGTCCTCAAACCATGGAATTTTGAAAGATCAAATCACATTCCTATTTCTATGTGAAAACTGGAGACTTTTTTCGTGCCCCTATAAATAGTAGTTTGTGTAGCTTTTGATTCTGTGTACCATGTACCTGTGCCTACAGCGCTTGTGTACCACTGGCTCAGGCCAGCCATATGAGGGGCTGCCATCGCAGGAGCTTTCCCAGCACAGTTTGGTCTATGGGGAAGGAATCTTCTCCCCAGGGTGTCTGCACGGCTCTGTCAGTGTACCCGAATGCATTGTTCCCTGCTGTTCCAGTTTTGACAGTTTACTTTGACAATAATGCCCCAACCATTGAGTGATTAGCCATTGTTCACGTCTTTTTTTTTTTTTTTTTTTTACTATTATTAACCATTCTGGTTTATGATTTGCTGGTTGATAGCTTCACAAATGCTTTGGTGCAGTGACTGTTTGAGCCATTCCAAGTACTATGAAACCAAGGACTGTGCCACACTCTGTGGGAACTGATTCATATTAATTTCAATGTAAAATACTGCATATTTGTCAGCACCTTGAATGCTTCATAACTGGACATTTCTGTCACATTAAAAGATGAGCATCTCATGGAAGCCATCCAATAATGTTGGTATTAACTATTTGATGTTACTGAGCATGAGGTACAACTGGTCCTTCTTCCTGCTGTTGGTACTCAGACTTGCAATGGCTTCTCTTGTAGCTTCCTCATCAAAATACTGAGTATGATAAAATGTGAGTGATTTGCTGCCTCCATATGCCACAGGGGTCCACCTCACACCATGTACCCCTGCAGCACTTACATGATCTCATGTAGATAGATGGCAACGCCGTCTCAGATTCCTCTTCTGGAATGCACAAGGTTGCCTGCTGTCTCACAGGCACGGCTAACTATCAAAGTGGCAGCACCATAAAGATGAGCAGCTGCTGCTCACCAAACCAGGTGATGCCAAAGCACTGGTGCTTAGAAAGCAGAGTATTCTGAACTTCATTTTCAGCAGAGGGCTCTACATGTTCGCACCAGAGGAAAGCCACCTCTTGTGTTGTGTTCCCTGTGAACTTCGAGACGAATGAGCGGCACCCAGGAATGAGTATTACCTCCACGATAATCTTACCCTTCTCTGTAGGTATGGACCTGCTGACAGAGATAATACAAAACAGGTTCTTTTCTTTTTCCCTTGAAACATGTTTTATTTTTACTAAGACCACTTATTTAGTGTGTGTTACTAAAAACAAACAAACAAAGCAACAATGAGCCCAAAACCAAACAAAGAAATTAAGGATTTTCTCATACTCTCTGTTCTACATCATGCTAGTATGCCGTGCATTCTTATTTCATGTTTTGACAATTAGACAAATACAATTAGACTCAAATGTATTAGACAGTAGTGTTGCAAACATACTGTTTCATACTGCGTATGAATTTGACTTGTCAAGATCTTTGTTTCTACTTCATATATATTTTTTTGTAATATATAAAATACTGGGTCCCTTTAAATTCCATCTTTGCTCAAGCATGGTTTTTTTCTAGAGTTTTCATTCTCTTGGAATAGGAGTAGTCCTGCTAAACAAACAGCACCATCAAGTCTAATGGGACTATATTTAGAGTGTCTAAAATAGAGTGACAACAAACATAGTATTTGTGAGTTGCCCTGAAGGGCTGCAGTGTCCTGGAATCACACTAAATTGCATAATCTCAACTGACTCTTCAGAGGAAACGAGGAAGGACCTGTTGGATCATCCAGGGAATTTTCTGCCAGGTCAGGCTTGTTCCCTGTGATACCTCTCTTCCATAGTATCTTTTCCTTTTTTTTTTTTTTTTTTTTTTTTGTCTGGCTTTAATCAAGGAGGACTTCTTTAAACTGGGAGACAGCCTCACGTTTTAAAAGCTGCCTTTATGTATAACCACCAAACAGGATCTCCCTTATAATGAAAATACCTTTTAAAATGATTTTCCTTCGAAGGGTGTTACTGATACAGCTTAGAAGTTATAAAATATATTACATAGAAATACAGCTATTTAGAAGTTATTTGTAGATATATAGTTGTTAGTTATATATACAGAGAAGGCTTGAACAGAAGGTGGCTTTCTCATTCAGTGTTCCAAATCTCCCTTTCCAGCCAACATTCAGCACAGGAAAACCTCTTTGCTTTCTTACAGGGCTGCATCATTTCCCCCATGGTCCTTGTCTTCGTGGTGCTTTCACACTTGAATTCTGTGTTTTTTCTCTCACTCTGAAGCTGTTCTCCCATTCTGTGTGCATTCACAGCTCAGCTACATGAATGCCCACCCTCTCTGTAGGCATACAGCCCCCAGTGAAGCATCTTTGTCTGCGGAATCCAGTTTTTCCTTTGTCTTGAATGCGGCTAGTGTTTGAGGGCTTGACTTCTTTCTTTCGTGTTTTTTGGTTGTTTTGTTTTTGTTTTTTTTTTTCTTTCTTCCTCTAGCTTTCTTAGCCCAAAATGAGTTTAACTGATACTGATTGATGGCAACTAATTATACTCGCCATTTTCAGTGATGATTTTTCACCTAACTTCTAGCATAAATTTAGTTTTAATTCAGAAGATGAAGCCCTGATTTCATTGTGCAATTGAAACCAGTCCTGAGGCAGAGGAATAATTATGCTGGTCCTCCTTTTACTAATGGAGGCAGGACCAGTTTTTGAGTTGTAAAGTGAATATTATTAAAGCAGTAATTTGTTGCAAGGCATATAGGCAATGTTGGAATGTTAGCACCTGGCAAAAGATGATGGCATTTCATACAAGCCAGGATGTGTGTTTACTAGAAGAGTGTTTATCATCCAGCACAATATTCCAGTAAACTTGTAACTATTTACTCACTTCCCTGTTTCTTTTGTCATTAGTCCCAGTTTAGAATGAGGATAGATGTAGAAAGGGCTTTGTGATCTGTGTTCACCTCTTGACAGCTGTCTTCAGTGACATCAGACTGCAATGACATAGTTGGTCCAAGAATGACTAATTGTAAAATGTATGATTTTTACACCAGTGCAGTGAGATAACTTAAAAACCTCACTTTGATAATCATCACAACAGCAAGTAAGGTACAATAGCTTTTGGAGGGTTTGGTACGTGGAATACATCTGGCTAGCTTGACTGTGCGCAATTTAGACAAGAACATATGAAAGCATCAGTATCAGATGTGCAGACCAGGGTGATCAGTGGGAGTTTTCTTCTGAAAAAACATGTTCCTTGTATGATTCATTTTTTCAGGTTTGAAAGAAGAAAACATTTTTAAAAACCAGTTCCCTCCCCATGCTATGGATTGGAATGCCACGTATTGTGGCATTACATTGTGCAATAGTTGTGACTATTGCAAATTCACCATCTTGAACCAGAGAAAGTCTGTGACACATGTAACAGTCATGTGTGGAAGTCTGGGACTGGGGTGCTGCTTTGGAGTTCTGCCTTTTGGAGGAGTTGAGAAGACAAGAAAGAGTGGTAAGGACCATGCTCCTGCCCTCTCCTGAGGAGATGCTACCAAGCTCTCCCCACTTACCTCTCCCCCCCCTTGTTGCCTACTGTTATTACCAACAATTTCATTGAACAAGGAAAAACCTGATCTGTAAAATGGTTCTGAATTAGTCTAGCCTTTGGGAAGTCAAACCCTTATATTAGTGTTTTGCTTATTTTTTCTCCTATATGTGCAATACTGACTGGAAAAAAAAAAATCCCAGATTTTAGAGATGCAGATGTTTTGCTAAACAAACTGGCATGCTGCATCTTTCCTGTGATCTTTTCCCAGTCTAGTTTTAAAGCACTGTTGCTCTATACGGTCAGAGAAGCATTTGACTGATCTTTGCCTCAGATTCTAGTTTGAGTTAGAAGGCTGGCAGTCTGGAAAATTACCCTTCAAGTTTTGATGCAGTTACATGACTGGAGGTTTCAGTTACACTTTGAATGCATCATGGACCCACAGTGAGCTATATTTAAAGTCCTGAAATGCAGAGCTTCTACTTTCCCGATATGACTGGGGATGTGAACTGTCACTGCCAAACATTTTGTCTGGCATGCTCCCTTGGTTTCTGCCTGTTACACATTACTTCTAATTGTAAAAAAAAATAAATTTAGAATCCTATTCTTTTTCTGTATTGCTGCTCTTCTGCAGTGCCTTTCTACATTTCTCAAGTTCTTGTGAGTGCAAGTAATAGACGAAGAGGTTGAACAGTTTTCCTCCAGGTCCAGGGTTTGAATTCCTCTAAACACTGTCTTTCTGACTGACTCCTGTTATGAGGCATCCAGAACCCATGAAGTATTTCTAAGCCATGTCCTTGGCAGAAGGAGAGAGACTGTTGCCTTCTGAACTGCCTAA